GCCAGCCAGCCCCGCCCCCTGGTGGGTTGAGCTGGCCACACACACACACACACACAAAATAAATAAATAAATAAATAAATAATTAAAAAAAATAAAATAAAATAAAAAAAATAAATAAAGCCCCTGCTTAGGCAGAGTGCAACAGCCAGGGTTTGATTCCTGGTGTGCTGTGCCAGCCCCGCCCCCGGGGCACACTGAGCCCACTTTTGAGACTGGGCGTGGTGGTGTGCATCGGTAATCCCAGCACTTGAGAGGCAGAAAACAGGAGGATCACTATAAGTCTGATCTACACAGTAAGACCCTGTAGACCTTGTCCTAAATTCATAAATAAATAACAAAATTCTGCTCACAGTGTATGAAGTTCCATTTCCCTGCAACCTTATGTGTGTACCAAATGTAATCAACCTTTAATCTTTAGCCAGTCTGATGGATGAAAATGATGCCTTAATTTCTTCCATCATGCATGAAGCTGAGCACTATTTCTTATATTAATTTACCTTTTGCACTTATTTTTCCATTTAGCTATACTTTTCCATTGTTCCCCTCAGCTGTTTTGCTTCTGTTTTTGCCAAGGCATCTTTATTAGCATTGGTCCAGTTCCTCTCCAGGTCATAACCAGATATAACCCCAGAGAAAGTATGCATCTGCACCACTGTTAGTCTGTGCCTAGAAAGTTCATAGCTCTAGTGTGCACATCTTTCTCTTTATGCTTGTTCATGTTTTTTGTTTGTTTGCTAGTAAAAATAATTATATAAACATATAGCAGCTATTCTCTGTGTGCTACACCCTGTACTCAGCACTTTTATTATCTCTTTTATTACCTCTGCTAGCAACCTAGCAGGTAGTAGTTCTCTCCATATATATAACTTTTATTTCTTTGGTTAGTTGGTTTTTCGAGACAGGGTCTTGCTATGTATTTCAGGGTGCCCTTGGATTCCCTAGGTAGCCAAGGCTGTCCTTGCATTTGTGGCAATCCTCCTGCCTTGGCCTTCTAAGGGTTGGGATTATAGACATGCATCACTACACCAAGTTTTATATGATTCCTAAGTGTAAACTGAGAGATGGTGAGATTAAGCGCTTATCTAAGGTCACAGAGCTAGTAAATGGCAAAGCCAAGATCTAAACCCAGCAGAATGCTCTAAACCCAGCCTCTGTAAATGTTGTGACATTCAGGAAGGTTAGCATTTATGTTGCCCTTTGTCTGTTTTCAAGAGGCCTTTCTCTCTGCATGTCCTCATTCGGGAAACTGACTGTGGTGGCTGATACAAGGGGAATTCATGTACAGGCCTGGGAGGTTTGGGTGTTTTGTTTTGTTTTGTTTTGTTTTGTTTTGTTTTGTTTTGTTTTTTGGTGGAATCAGGGATTGAACGCAGGCCCTTGCACTTGCCAGAGAAGCACTTATTCCACTGAGCCATCTCCCCGGCCCCAAGGCCTGGGAGTTTTATCTTTCCTTAAACACTGGCTTCAATTACTGAAGTCAAAATAGTATATTAAAAAGTGTATAGTGAAAAGGTTCACTCCCACTCTTTTGTCATCTACTGTATTCCCCCTGCCTTCTACTTTTACTAGTTTCTCTCTATACTCTCTGTATTTCTTTATATACTTACAAGCAGAATTCATACATACATACCTGTACATTCATGTATATATCTATTCCTCCATTCTTTTACCTAAAATAGCACACTATATGTGCTTTTTTATGTGTTTAGTATAGGGTCTACAGGGTCTTAATACACAGATTGAGCTTGTAGTGATTCTTCCTGTTTTTCAGCCTCCCAAGAGCTGGGATTACAGATACACATCACTACACCCAGTCTTTTTTTTTTCCATAATTTTATTAATAAACAAATAGCAGTGAGACAGTTTCAAATCAAATTGGTAGGACAGTTTCAATAATTAACACATTGCATACATTCTTCCTAGTGGTTAATTGCTGTAAAAGATGCAGACATGATATCCTATTTACAAATACCATTAGAACAAATCACTCTATTCATTAAGAAAATGTAACTATATACCTATCCTAACCACTTTGAATACACAGATACAAAATGGACATACATCTGTATACCCTTTTTTTGTTAAGTTCCATTATTTGAATATTATAGGTGTGTAAACTCAGCAAAATATTCTACACCCAGTCTTAATCACTGCCGTCTCAGTGCACCCCAGGGGGCGGGGCCAGCACAGCAGGTCAGGGATCAAACCCCCAGCCCCTGCATCTGCCTAAGCAGGCACTTTAATCCACTGAGCTATCTGGCCAGCCCTATATGTACTTTTTTATATTGTATTTATTTTTCATACAATCAATTCAGGGGTTATAACGCCATTTCATTCATCAGATATTTATTAATTGCCTCTTTCTACAAAGCATTGTGCTATACAGTGGATTTTACAAAGAAGTATAAAACACAGTACTCTTTGGCCATAGAAAGTATACAGGCTAGTGCAGTAATGACAGCATAAGTGAGCAGAATGTGTGGTATTTGTATGATGTGGTGCTCTTGTGGCTAATTTGGGCCTCAAGATCAAGCACAAAGAGAGAGAATTTGTAACTTGGTCTTTGAGGCCAAATTGGGAGACCTACTAAGTTATAAATTTCTAAAGTGTAAAAACTACACTTTATCTTAATAGCCTCTTTGGGACTTTATCACTTGAACTAATGAATGTGCACTTTATTTTTATTTTTATTTTTTCACTTGTTACAAGACATTTTAATGAAAATTCAGGGATGGATATGTATAATCCAGGGGCTAGTTACAAGGGACTGTCATAGAAACGTAAAGCCAACTAGATGCTCAGATAAAATTGTTACATATTCTCATCATCTGATTCATCTTCTTCCTTCAGTGATTCCTTAGCGTATTTCTCTGCTTCTTCCCTTGCATCTTTTGGAACAATTTCATGTCTTCCTTTAGTTAATTCACCAACCCAGCTGAGCTCGAGTTCAAAAGCTTTATCCTTAACTTCATCATGTACTATGTAAATTATTTTCGCAACTTCTTTAACAACACCACAGCAGGTCATTTCTTTCATCTGAAGCTTCTCTATTTCTGTCTTTGCAGCTTGCTGGGCTTTGCCAATAGCACAGCCCCAATAACCATATGAAGCACCTGAAGGGTCAGTCATGTAGAGTTGTGCACCATCGTTCACACTGTAAGACCCAAGCATGAAACTGCAGCCGAAGGGTCTGACAGCACTGTAGAGTATGTAAGCATGTACATACATGGCCACTTGGCCTGCAAGATATTTCAGTGGAATGTTACAGCTATAGTTAGATCTAGAGTTGGAAGCTTCTTCTCTTGCTATGTCTGCTAAAGACCGAGCATCTGCCAGCAAACCTGCTACTGCCATCCCAACATGCCGATCAACGTTAAAAAGTGGTTTGTTGGAATCTTCTTCATAAAGTTTAGAAAGAAGTAATTTTTCTACCCCAAAGACAACACCATCTTTACATCTTATCCCAATAGCTGTACTACTGTTTTCCACAGCCTTCATAGCATATTCAACTTGAAAAATTCTTCCATCAGGAGAGAATGTAGAGGCTGATAGATCATACCCAGTTCCGATTGAGCTCATCTTGTCCAAACCACCAGAGCGCACTGGGAGTCCAGGCCCAAATGTGCACTTTAAATATAGACTTTGAGAAAACTTTCTAATTAATGCAAAGGGAAGATTTTTAGAATAGTCTGCATATAATTCATCCCTGCCTGAGGAACCTGCTCATATGGATTGAAATGATACTTTCGCATGGCTAACAGAGAACTGAAGAAGGAGGGCTTATCTACAGAGGGTTTGTCTGGATGAGAGATCTTCTCTTTCCCTGCTCAGGCATCCTCCTTGTACACCTACTCTATGGGCAAAGCAGAAAAGAGTTTCTTGCAACTGCAGGATGGTGTTTAACATTATTAAGCTACCCTCTATTTGTTTTGGGTCTCAGTTTCTACATATTGCAATTAATTCTTGTAAAAGTCGTGTACATTGCAGACATTCCAAGGCCTTGAGGAGGCAGTAAGGCATATTGGTTAGAAAACCACTCCAGAGCCAGCCTGTGGGTGTTGAAATTGAGTCTGCCACTTTCTGGCTATGACCGATCACCAGACTTGTAATTATCTTCATTGTTCCTAAGTCGATAGTGCAAATCTTTGAGGTCTGTGAATTGATACCATTTATTTTCCCCACTGAGCTTTCTAGCCAAGGTCAAATGTTGAAAGAAAAAATCTAGCATGTGCTATTTAAGCACTTTTCGTAAAATACTGTAATGCATACTATACATATAATATATACCTAATACATATGCTCTAAGAATTTCCATACTTACAATGTAACAGAATATTTTTCTATGAAGGAATATGAATCCTAAGAAAAATAGTGTCAGAGTTACAGGTTACAAGAGTAGTAATGATAAGGTTTTCTCTTAGCCTCTTACACCTGGCGGCCAAAGGGTCCAATGAAGAATATTTAGAGGCAGACGCCCCAACTGCCTTTGAAAACCTGTCATGCATGTCACAAGAAGGAAGAAATCGCTTTCTTTGACAGTACATTTTTGGGTGCAGAGATGGCTTTTGTTTTATTTCTTTTGCAATCCTTTTTTTCTTGTAGGAGTCTAGTTTCTGCTCCCATACACCTGATTTGGAAGCGGAGGAAAAGGCTTCTTGCTTTTTCCAGTGATAGAGATGGTTAGGCAACTTGATGTGCCTGTGGTATGCCTGTTTTCTCTTGTCCCACCTCCAGAAGCCACAGAATAAAGATGGTGCATTGAAGCTGGGCATGAGGGGCACATCTATAGTCCTAGCACTCAAGAGGCTGAGGCAGGAGGATGCTGTGAGTTAAAGGCCCACCTGAAATACAAAGTGAGACCCTGTCTCCAAAAAGAAAAAAAAAGAAAACGATGTGCATTGCTTCAGGGTCTGACGAACATTTTGGACAGTTTTTGTTTGTTTGTTTGTTTGTTTGTTTTTGTTTCTTTGCATTATAATCACTGTGATCTGTTTCCTTAGGCTCTTTATTGAGAAACTGCCAAAGCATCGAGATTACAAGTCGGCTATCATTCCTGAAAAGAAAGATACAGTAAAGGTGGGTCTTCATTTTCATTGTTGGCCATCAAAAAGCCTCAAAGCAGTACAAACTACGATAAAAGTAACTGTGTATCTGAGCATCAAATTCTGCCATTGGAGCTAAGACTGTCTCACCAAATAGTTAGGAAGCAGCAAGTATGCCACAGTAGGGGGTATTGTAAAACATTTCTTGAAATAGTACTTCTTTTACAATTTCAGTCTTCTTTTTTCTCTATTTAACTGGCATTAGACTTGTTCTAATTCACAGTTTGTTTTGTATCTCAGAAGTTAAAGGAAATTGCATTTCCCAAAGCTGAAGAGCTGAAGGCAGAGTTGTTGAAACGATATACCAAAGAATATGCACAATACGCTGAAGAAAAGGTCAGTATGCAACAGCACTGAAAAGGAAATGATTTGTCTTTAACTTGTGCCCTGGGATTATCGTGTGCTATCAATAGATTCTGTTACCTCAAGAATAATAAAAGTTCTCACCAGAGTCTAGGTTTGCAAATCATAGAATTTGGAGGTTTGATTCACATTTGATTATACCCCCAAATATTTGTAATAATTGATTTTTCAAACTATCTTCCAATGTTTCTGGTTAGGGAGAGTCAGTAAAAGCATGGGGAAAAATGCCCAGGACACTAGAGTGGTGATGTGTCCCATGTGAGTGTACTGCAGGCTCATATAAGTTATGATTAGTCTTCTGGGCTCTGTGCTGTACTGTAGTGTTGAAAATTAGCGGGACAGTGAACAGCTATGAAGCACAGATTTCTAAGGTGCTGAGTGAGTGAACATTTTAATGGGGGTCATTTCTTGATATTCCTTACTGGTTTCTATGGAACTGATCATCAGAAAAAATTTAGGGGCTGGGAGATAGCTCAGCGGCATAAGCTCCTGCCTGCCAAACGCAAGTTCCTGAGTTCAATTCCTGGTACCACACACACACACACACACACACACACACAAACTAAGAGTTTAGGGCTAGCCTGATAGCTCAGTGGATTAAACTGCCTGCTTAGGCAGACGCAGGGACCAGGGTGCAATCTCTGGCCTGCTTTGCTGGCCCTGCCCACGGGGCTCACTGAGAAGTGATTGAGACTGGGTGTGGTGGCGTGTGCCTGTAATCCCAGCATTTGGGAAGCTGAAAACAGGAGAATCACTATGAGTCTGATCTACATAGTAAGTCCCTGTAGACCCCTTAGGCCCTGTACAAAATACAAAAAAAAGAAAGAAAAATTTTAGATGCTTCATTTTTGGGTTTAAAATCAGTAGAGGGGTACAGCCAGGTCAGGGAGATGGCTCAGTAGAGTAAACGCTTCCCTGGCAAGCGCGAGGATCTGAGTTCAATCCCCGGTTCCGCCAAATAAAATAAAATAAATAAAATCAGTAGAGACTTCCAATACAGCAGGTGCAAGTTTGGATTTGCTTCTATTTGGTAACCTTACTTGGGTACAGAATATGTGCGTGGCACAGAGAGTAGAACTGTTTGTGATAGAGGTTATGAGGTGCAGGTGCATCAAGATTTCAGTAAAGAAGAAAGTACATGAGGGAAAGTCATCAGGGAGCATACTGAGAGGACTGAGACTTTATGCGACTTCATGTGTCCTTGAAGATACATATTCAGTGGCTTGGTATAAAGGGGTGGGAATTACATTTAGTAGCAGTAGAGCTCCCGAGGGAAGCGTGAATTCTGTGTTAGGATACAAAAATAGAGCAGAAGTACATTTTGAAAATCTCCCTGCTGAGCCTTGCTTTTCCGAGGTGTGAAGTATTAGCATAAATACTTTATTTACTTATTTATTTATTTTGGTCTCTTTATAGAGGAAGGAGGCAGAGGAATTTGCCCGAAACATGGCCATCCAACAAGAGCTGGAAAAGGAGAAACAGAGGGTAGCCCTACAAAAGCAGCAGCAGTTGGAGCAGGAACAGTTTCATGCCTTTGAGGAAATGATCCGGAACCAGGAACTAGAAAAGGAGCGACTAAAAATTGTACAGGAGTTTGGGAAGGTGGACCCTGGCCAAGGAGGTCCGCTGGTACCTGACTTGGAAAAGCCCTCGTTAGATGTGCTCCCCACCTCGCCTGTTTCATCCACACAGCCTGCAGACTGTAATTCAGCCCTAAGGCCGGCCAAGCCACCAGTAGTGGACAGGTCCTTGAAACCTGGAGCACTGAGCAACTCTGAAAGTAGTGAGTCCATTTGCTAGTATTCTCTTCTATCTCTTCTGTAGCCAGGGTAGTCGGCCCATGGGTATCCCTGTGATGCCACTTCCTAGGCTTTGGCCACAGAGGCCCATTTGTTAAGTAGAGTCTGTGTCTCTTCACACTCGCTGCCTCATAATAGTGGCCTTTGCTAAAACCATATGATTTAGATACAGCCAGGTCAGTTTTCTGAAAAATTAATACTATCATTGAAAGTTCAGCACCAAACTTTTTTTTTTTTTCTTTTTTGGTTTTTGGTTTTTTAATTTGAGTCAGGGTCTGGCTATGTATTCCAAGATAGCCTTGAACTCACTCTGTAGCCCAGACTGTTCATAATCTCACAGTGATACTCCCACCTCAGCCTTCCAAGCGTTAGAATTATAGACATGCTACCATGCTCAGCTGGCTCTCAATTTTAAGGGTTACACAGAGATTTGAAATGTTTCATGAATTAGAGACCACTGTTAGCTTTTTGTAAAAACAATTGTTTTTTAAATTTTATTTTGGGCCAGTCAGATAGCTCAGCAGATTAAAGCACCTGCTTAGGCAGATGCAGGGACCAGGGTTTGATCCCCTGTGTGCCATGCCAGCCCCACCCCTGGGGTGTGCTGAGAGACAGTTGACACTGGGCGTGGTGGTGCATGCCTAGAATCCCAGTGCTTAGGAGGCTGGAAGCAGGAGTATCACTATGAGTTCAGTCTGTGTAGTGAGACCCTATAGACCCAGTACTAAATACATTTTTTTTTAAAGTATGTGTTTGTTTCTTAGTTACAGGGTCTCACTACACAGTTGAGACTCTTAGTGATCCTCCTGTCTCAGCCTCCCTAGCCCTGGGATTACAGGTGTGGGAGACTATGCCTGTGATTTCCCTGGCTGGCACAGCGTGCAGCACCAGGGATCAAATTCAGGTTCTTGCACTTGCCAGGCAGGTGCTTAGACCACTGAACTATCTCCCCAGCCCCTGTAAAAATAACTTTTAAATGATAATACTATTATGCAATTCAGTGACTTTTTAAAAATTTTTATTTGTTTATTTACTTAGTACAGGGTCTTACTACATAGCTCGGGCTTATAATGATCCTCCTGTCTCAGCTTCCCCAGCACTAGGATTACAGGAGGGTTTTGGGGCTCACATTGCATGTGGTACCAGGGATTGAACTCAGGATCTTACGCTTGCCAGGCAGGCACTTAGACCACTGAGCTATCTTCCCAGTTCCCAGTGACTGACTCTTCAAAAAAAGAGCTACCAAGTTATGCATGCCCTAAAAGCATTCCTAACATTTAAGAACTTCAGTTAGTCAAGGCAAACATTGTATATAGTGGGTGATATCTCAGTTCAGCCATAAAAACTCACTAATTGGTTACTAAGAATTTAATAGAGGCAAAATGATGAGTGTACCTTGTTGGTTAGAGTAAATTTTGGAGGAATCGGCTTTCAAGTAGTCATTTAAAGAAGACTGTCAAATTTCCGGGATGTTCCCTTGACTGTCTTATTCCAAAGGGATTCATTCATATTTGCCTTCTGTCTAGACTTTCCTTTCACTGTGTCTACCTTCCCTGCTTTTCTTGAAGTTTTTCCAGGTCCCTTTAATCCAATTGATTCTGTTCTCTGTAAAACTCCCAGAGCTCTTTTTACCGCTAATACAATTTAGAGCATTTACCTACTAGTGTAGTCATTTGTCAATAACTAGATTTAACGTCCCACAGGTTAGGGCTTGAGTCTTATTCATCTCTGTGTTCCCTGTGGGCTGAGCACAATGCCTACTTGGCGTGCGCTTAGTGAGTGATTATTGAACTGAAAAGAAAGGACTATACCAGTGCCAAACCTTAATTTGTCCTCCTTAGACGCAATCATCAAACTACTCTGTGATTGTGAGTCTCTGCATCTGTGTTTCCCCTCTGGCAGTATAGATTTTGCTGTCAAGTGTGCAAAAGCAGAACATCCCTTTTCGTTGTGTTGTGTTGTGTTGTATTGTGTTGTTTTAAGAAAGGATCTTGCAATGTTTCCCAAGTTGGCTTTGAGCCCTTGATCCTTCTGCTTCAGCCTCCCACATAGCAGATATCAGAGGCATGTACCACTGCACCCAGCCATTTTTTACTTTTTTAATATGAAAATATGGATGTGGATGATACTTTCTACCCATAGCCTCCTGGCTCTCTCTTCAGGAACTATGTCCATTCTTAGCATCCTGAAGCAGATTTATGAATAACTTTGTTTATGCTTTTTGTGGGAAACTAGACTATCTGCTGTGTTACTTGGAATTTTTTAATATTTAACTTTATTTTGAAGGACTATATTCACAAGTAACTTCTCAAATAATTTTCCACTATCAAGAATATATACTGGGCTGGGGAGATGGCT